GAGAGAGGGAGAGAGAGGGAGTGAGAATGGGAGAGAGGGAGAGAGAGAGAGAGAGAGAGAGAGAGAGAGAGAGAGAGAGAGAGAGCGAGAGAGAGAGAGAGATAGCGAGAGAGAGAGATAGAGAGAGAGAGAGAGGGAGAAGGGGAAGGGGAAGAATCACAGAGGGAGAGAGGGGAGCCGGATCACGTTGAACGTGCCCACCATGTTCACCTGTAGGAGAGAGGGACGGGGTGAGAGAGAGAGAGAAAGAGAGAGAAGGGATGGGTGAGAGCTGGAGAGAGAGCGAGAGAGAGAGAGGGAGAGGATCACGTTGAATGTGCCCACCATGTTCACCTGTAGGAGAGAGGGACGGGGTGAGAGAGAGAGGAAGGGTGAGAGAGAGAGAGAAAGAGAGAGAAGGGATGGGTGAGAGCTGGAGAGAGAGCGAGAGAGAGAGAGGGAGAGGATCACGTTGAATGTGCCCAACGTGTTCACCTGCCGGAGAGAGGGAGTGACAGGATGAGATGGGGAGAGGGTGAAGGAGGGTGAAAGAGAAGGAAGGAAGGAGAGAGGGAGGGAGATGGTGGAATAGATAGAGAGAGGGGGAGAGTGGGATAGATAAATAGCGAGAGAGAGAGATAGAAAGGGGAAGGCAGATCAGGTTGAGCGTGGTGCTCTGTGTTAATCTGCAGGCGATGGAGAGAGAGGGGGAAAGCACCACTACCACAATATCAGCATACGACACATCAGCGCTGCAGCAGATCCAGCAGCACGAGCGTGTTCCCTCGGCACACTCACCACCAGCACGCGCTGGAAGTCCGCGAGACTGTGCGGCAGCTGCTTGTTGAAGTTGTACGTCTTGAAAGCGACGCCGATTCCCGCGCAGCTGACCGCCATGTCTAGTCGTCCGAACATCCCCTTCGCCGTCTCGATCGCCTTCTTCACGTCCGTCTCCGACGTCACCTGGAGCGTCCGAGAAAACGCGAATTTACGCGCAACCCACGGTAGAGCCACGCGTAGAGTCACGCTCGCACTCGAGTCATTTCGCACTTGCGTGACGTAAACACGATGAAATGTTTAGTAACCGAGAACTTTGTTCGACAATATCTTATTCTACGAGAGAAATCTAACTCCAACAGACATGGCCAGGTGTTTCAAGTGATTTCCAAGGTTAGCTGTCAAGAGAGAGCCGTGCTACGCATTAAAATCAAGTAGGTTGGTTGAGGTCTTGCTCTCAGGCACCCTTATTATGGGGATGTGAGTGCTGAGTCTATAATGATATAAGATGCAAGATGTCTAGATATTCTAATTTAGTTATTTTTGATGGTTTTTACCTCCGCCCAACAGAGTTGGAGGAGGTTATGTGATCGGTCTCGTGTGTTCGTGTGTTAGTGTGTTCGCGCGATCGATATTAGCACGTCAGCGAGCGAGCCAGCGAGCCAGCCAGCGCAGCGACCCAGCGAGCGTGTACATGTGAGCGAGCAGATGTCGCTGGCCAAGGTATGCACTCTCTGTGAGTGCCCGTTCCAGTTCTATGTGTTATTTGTTTTATATTTGATATTATTTTATATGTAAATATCATTGAGTGGTGGCGTAAGGCAGTGATACACATGCGTCGAAACAGAGGAATTGCTCCGACTTGTGATTGGAGGATAAAAATACAATTTGTGACGTTTCGTTTTCATTTTGGCATTTAGCCTCGACTATGAGCATGACTCGAGTATGAGCGATACCGCACATACATATTTGCTAATTAATTAAGCTAATCGCGCTGCAATAAACTCAAGACTCACAGGGATCATAGCTAAGACATGTGTCTATAATAGCTAGAATTTATAGAAATGTAACTCAAATCGTTCACGCCATATGATATAGTTAGTACACTTTCCTATCGGCCATAGCTGCGCGTGTATTAGCATATGAGCGATACCGCGCGTGCATATTTGCTATTTAATTAGACTAATTGTCCTTTAATAAACTCAAAACTCACAGAGATGATAGCTAAGACATGTGTCTATAACAGCTGGAATTTATAGATTTGTAACTCAAATCGTTCGCGCCATATGATAGTTAGTACACATTCCTAGCGGTCATAGCGTATGCGGCAGGGGTATGAAAAATGAAAATGAAACGTCACCAATTCTATTTTTATCCTGCAATCACAGGTCGGAGCAATTCCTCTGTGTAGACGCGTGTAGTGATACTCACATCTGTTGGTGCGAAGGTAGCATTTGGACCAAGCTTATCAGCGATGTCTTGACCTTTAGAGCCCGGCAGGTCACAGACGACGATCTTCGCGCCCTGCTGGACAAGCCGCTGTGCAGTGGCTTGCCCCAGCCCGGAGGCGCCACCTGTCACAATGCCGACCAATCCCTGAAGAGGGAGTCAAACATGAGATATTATTATTAGAATAAAGAAATAGACAATATTCGACAGGATAACATTGTAAAGAATGTAATGCCTTGCTAATGTTTCTTCATGTTCCAAAATTTAATTAACTAAAAAAGAAACAGCTCAAAAAGAAATACTGCCTGGTGCTCCCACACGTGTGTGACTGTGTCCATCGTCAGGGGAAACATTGTCATTGGATCGCCTCATCTCCTCAAAATCTATCTCTACTAATACTATATAGACGTTATTGACACTGCTACCGCCACTATCCTTAAACGGCTGGACATTACCACACTAACGCGATAGTGACAACGTGATTCATCAACTGACTACAGACTAGGCCCTAAGCTACAGCTGAAAATTAATCAAGATCAACCAAAGGACTGATGACTGACTATGCTGAGTCTGATGTCATGTTCGTGAATAAACTCGATCAGAAGACAGATTATAAGCGCGTGAACTTTCCTACGCGTTCACAAATGGCGGCTAAACGGTTTATTATTACGATCGCTTTCAATAAAAGCCACTAATGGGCAGCACTTAATTTTAAATCTACAATTAATAACAAACCAACTTTCACGGTCCTAATGCTTGCCATGATGTCTTGGACTCTTGGAGCACGGCGCTTCGATCGCGGCGCGAGCCGGGCGGAACAGCCAATCATGTCTTCGCATCGCTACCAACTATAGGTGGCGCTGGGGGTTTGTTTATGTCGTGGACGCAGGCATGCATGGATCTGAGAACGTATATAATCTCTGTTAAATTCATTTATCGGGTGTTTCGTAGTCATCTGCCGTTTTCCGATTTCACGAAGTGATAACACGAGTGTCATCATGTTCAAAAATAAAATACTACTGTCAAGTTTGGAGGTAAATTTATTTCACAAGCAATCTACTGCAGATGATGTACTGCAACAAATGAAAGACCTGACAAGTCTATGCAAAATGCCAGAAAATCGGTGAGTGTTCTTTTATTACGTTGTATATATCATATATTAGTAATACTAACACTAATAATGGTATACATTTCAATGTTATTTTTCAACTGAAACGTATAGGGACTCTGGATGACAAATTATAAGTTAATGTCATATGTTTGTTTCAATTACAGTGTGAACGTGCAAGAGGAAGATTACGTAGCAGTCAAACGAATTATTATTATGTCGGATGCATGCCACGTGATGCACGAATCACAGTTTCCATTGGAACTACGGCTAACATCCATTGCAACGGTCACCGAGTGTTTTCGTACTCTGCGAAATCTTTGCGCTGACTGTCTAGCGAATCAGGACTCGATAAGGTACAAGTTTGTGTTAACAATACATATATATGTCCTCTATATAATAACTAAATAAGTCTTACATACATATGTCTGATATAATAACATCACATGTACCTGTTCTTTTAGATATAGGATGTACTGAGATTATAATGAACCAGCTAGTTCTTTGTAAACTGTACATCATGTTGCATTGACAAGTGTAAGCATTATAGTAGCATGGCCCTGTATAGCTCTAGTGCTATAGCCTGCGTACAGTTGCCGCAGGCCTGCAGGCCTGTGGCCGCGGCATCGGCTGCTGCCGCGCCGGCTGTGCTGGCGACGTCTGCGCTGGCACTCGGCCGCGGCCTGTAGGCCTGCGGCAACTGTAGGCCTGCGGCAACTGTACGCGGGCTATAATACTAGAGCTAGGCCCTGTATAACTGCCACTCAGCATTCACTAGGTCCCTGTCAGACACATAGTGATGGCACAACCTGTCACATATAAAGTGCAATGACCTGTACCCTATAGTATTCGTTAGTACTATCAGTATATATGTCGTATTTATATCATATACTGTTCACATATCACAGTTGAAAACATCCTCAGGTTTTACTCTCTGCTTCTAGGAACAACGGAACGTTTGCAGCCACTCGAGACATATTTGTTCAGCTGCTTGTGTGCAACGAAGGCCAGGATGAAGGGTCAGGGGAACATATTAGGGAAGATTTAGCAGAAACACCAGCAGGTCTGTAGGCCCACTTTACAGCTTCAAACCTGCACAGTGTGCCAGATATATATATTGCCCTAATGATGAGAGAAACACATTTAGCATAGAACCACAATCAGGATTCTTGGCATGTTATAACCATTTAGATTTGGTATTAGATATTTATTAGATCACATATAGATGGCAGCACCATCCAAGAAAAGGAATCGTATTCCACTCTAGCCGGTATGCTACTGAATACACCTGTAATTGTAAAATGAATCAATATAAATATGAGAATGTGTGTGCGTGCATGTGCATGTTCAAATGTGCTATGCAGATTTTTCTCAAAACATCTAGTTTTCACTTTCAGTTAATCTCGCCATACGCTGTGCCGTACAGTTTCTGGGAAACTTTGTTACTGCAAATGAAAGCAATCAGGAACTTGTCTGGAACGAACTTAGGCCACACTTCAGGTATTTATATCTGCAAATCACTCGAGAAAAAACAAATCACCAGCGTAAAAAAATAAGAGCAGTATAAATGTTTCGACGTGATATAATTGATGCGAAATCGATTGGAATATATGTAGTGGTGCGAATAGATCCTACATTACATTTGATTTCTCGTTATTTTATAATATATACGTATTATCATTCCTATATATATCATGTACACCCGCATGTGCGTGCATGCACGCGAATCTGCGTGTGTCCGTAATATATTTCTCATGCTTGTGTTTTTAACTAGTTTCTTCTCTTCCCGTGCGCTGTGTAGAACTGTCTTGGCCGGTGCCGACCTCACTGCTGCTAACTACTGCTGCATGCTGCTGCTTAACATGCCTTCCTGCCGTGAGAGAATCCTCTCAGATGACAGCAGCAGGCGTCTGCTGGACGCGGTCGTGTTGCTGGTCACCAGACATGAAGCAGAGTGGGGGTGAGTCATCCCAGGGGCAGCCTCAGCGCCATCTATAGGCGTCATTGTGAAGTAATCGTGCACGGAGCCGAGTGGAAATTGACGCATGAGTATACAATGATGACTAAGTTCCTAATTATTTTTTCTACATTTACACGATGAGGTATGTCGTTACAAAGTCATTGCTACCGGTAACTAAATCGTATTGCGGATTAGTTCGGAATTCATCTGACGTTTAATTAGTAGTTTGTGTTATCAATAAATATCGATAACAGCTAATGCTGTACACGTTTCTTGCAGGATCTTCCTACTGGAGAAGTGTGTGGCTGAAGAGTCATTTTATTCGCACACTTACCCAACACTCTCTGCCGCAAGCAAGTTAGTATTTATTTCCAGACTTGACCTTGTAATTTTATTCGAAAAAAGTAATATCAGAAACAAGTGTTTCATATGCTTACGCGATGCAGGTATGTGTAACTGTCATTACCGATCGATTAGAGTTGATGTAATGTCATTCTAGGTTGGCAGTACTTGATCTCGTTTCTGCTCAAATCTCCTCACAAGATGGCAGCACAGAGTCAGTAGTCACGGACGTTCCCATCGAGTGCCTGAGACACGTCTGTGAGGAGTTTAGAAATCTCTGCAGCTGTATCATTGACAGCAGCAGCAAGAGATCGGTGGTAAGTGAGGTCATAATGAAGCACGTTCTCTTGTCCTGGCCATAATCGAAGTAACTGGGACTAAGCTTACAGAATCTCGTTTTCGTACATTCTCCTACGAAGGGTAAACTGGTGGAAATGTTGTAGAAAGTATGCGTGAAGATACATTAACAGAACTATAGAGGACCACACGTAGAGAGACACACGCACACTCGCACACGCACGTACACAAACACACACATATGAGGATGATATTTATATAACGGCTCTTGTGTTTCTGGAAGAAATACATTGCTAACAACCTCCAGGACCATCAATGCTGCATGTGTAGTGAGGATGCTTCATTGTCGGTTACAGGAGCCGGAGCTAATGACGAGGATGCTGGGAGTGTTGTGCACGGCGACGGCGCAGCGTGGTTGCTACGACGCCCTACTGGATGAGCCTCATCTCGTGGCGTGCGCCGTCAGTACGTAGTGAAGCATTTATCCTACAATCCCCGACCTTACTGCTGCCACCCCCAACTCGTCCCCTGACACTAATATAAGGCGTAAGCTCTAACTATAATACCACCTCTAACACCAGCTTGTCCCCCCTAACACTAATATAAGCTGGAACCCTAACTTTAATGTCAATGGTAATTCCCTCCCTAAACCTAACCTTAATCAATAAACTTTTCTAACTCGAACCCAAGCGCCTCCCATAACTTTAAACTCTCCCCCGTTCCCTTAATTCGAACCCTAACCCCAACCCTAACCCTAACTCCAACCTCAGCCCTAATGCTAACCCTAACTCCAACCTCAGCCCTAATGCTAACCCTAACCCTAATGCTAACCCTAACCCTAACCCCAACCCTAACCCAAATCCTAATGCTAACCCTACGTCCAACTCTAACCCCTTTTCTAACCCTTTCATTTTCCTCAATCCTTACACTAGCTTATAAGATGACGCCAACCCATGTCTTTTCCAACCCTAACCCTTTTCAGTCCCCTAACCTTCCCTCTTTGAGAGAACGTAAGCCAGAAATTCGAGTTACGTCGTTAAACGCTAACATTATTTCTTTACTCGATAACTATAATTGATGGATTGACTGTCTGTCGCCGCGTGGCGCCATGCAGGCAGACATATTGACGAATCTCACGCATGCTGATTGGTTGCAGAGCTCCTGCAGAGAGTTCACGCAATCGAGACAGCCGACGATGCGAAGATTGCGGAAGAACGCAAGACGGGCGACCGCAAGTCGGCCGACCTCGATGTGCGCGATGACAGCGCCATCTACGGGTTCAAAAGAGACTTAATTCGCCTGCTCGGTAATTTGTGTTACAGACACCGAGTGAATCAAGACCAGGTGAGAGTTAGTTGCGGCGTGCACTGTTTCAAATAAGCTCAGTTTAATTCACACCATAATTTATTCGCTACCTTCTCCTCCTCTTCCATCTCTTCTTCCTGCTGCTCCTCCTTCTCCCCCTCTTCCTCTTCCTCCGCCTCCTCTATCTCCTCCTCCACCTCTTCCTCCTTCTCCCCCTCTTCCTCCTCCTCCTCTATCTCCTCCTCCACCACCACCTCCTTCTCCTCCTCCTCCTCCTCCTCCACCACTTCCTTCTCCTCCTTCTCCTTCTCCTCCTCCCCCTCCTCCCACACCCCAGTAATATCGTCATCGATCCCGGCCCGCGGTTTGAAGTAAATGAAGATGAGATTCATGCAATGACTTTCGCTTCGTCGCCCCCGCCTCCTTCCACGCCCCCCCGTCATCCTCAAACATCGCCCGGAGCCTCGAGATCGGCCGAAAGAATTGCGCGGGGGGAAAGAACCCGCGGAATTAATTGAATTCGCGTTTTCATTTTCGCGACGAGGACCGCTCGACGGCGGCGGCGGCGGCGGCGGCAGCGTGAAATCGTGTCCGGTTCTTCTCGCGAGAATTGAATTCTGATTGAACGCGTCTTTGTAATTAAGGGGGCCGGACCGGCGGCCGTCGCAGCGCATTACCGCGCTCTGCGTATTTGACGCGCTTGCGCATCGTTTCCCCTCCCCCGCATTCGTCTGCTGTCGCGCGGGCGGGAGAGCTGGGTGGGGGAGGGGGTCGGAGCGGATGAGGCGGGGGGAGGGGGGAGGGAGCGATGGTCAGGCGGGAGAGGGTGGGAGTGGGTGGGCCGATGGGGGTTGGGAGGGGGCGGATTGGAGGTGGGAGGGGCAGGTGGGGCTGGGTGCGGCCAGGGGGGAGGGGAGGGTGGATGGGGCTTGGTGGAGGGGGAGGGTTGGGAGCGGCATGGGGCGGGGGGGGGGTGGGGAGCGGATGGAGGCGGGGTGAGGGGAGGGAGGGCGGCTGAATGGCGGGGGGGTGGTTGGGCGAGCAGTGGGGCGGGGGGATGGGGTGGGGAGGCGGTGGAGCGCGGTATGGGTCAGGCGGTGGCGAGCGGTGGGGGGAGAGGGGGAGGGAGCGGCTGATGGCTGGGGAGGGGTGGGAGCGTGATGGGGCGGGGAGGGATGGAGGGGGGTGGGTGGTGGAGCGGAATGGGAGGGGTGTGGGAGCAGATGTAGGGCATGGAAGGCGGGGGGAGCGGGCTGGAGGAGCCGGTATGTAAGGCGGGGGAGGGGTGGCGCGGATGGGGGGGGGAGGGGGTGGGAGCGGTATGGAGGTGTGGTGGGGGTGGGGGCGGAATGGATGGTCTGGCGGGATGGGGGTGGGAGGCAGATGTGAGGCCGCGTGGATGGGGAGGGGGTGGGGAGCAGATGGAGGCGTGGCGGGCAGCAGGAGGCAGAGGGAGGAGGCGGGGGTTCGCGAGGAGAAGGTAGGCGGGGCAGCCTGTGGGCGGTCGCTCGTGCAGCCTAGCAGGAACGGTGCAGCGAGTATAGGCGTGGCACGGCGATGGGGGCGGGGACAAGCTGCGCGGCATCTAGGGGGTGGTGATGGTGGGTTGCTGCTACT